CTCACCTCACAGTGTTTGTTGTGGGGGATGAAGGGAAAAGGAGAATGTGAGCCGCTTTGAGACTCCTGAAGGGGAGTGATAAAGCGGGATATCAAATCCAAACTCCTCTTCCTGCCCCTAGGATCCTGGTGCTGAACTACCTGGGGCGCAAGGGCCCGGAGGCCGGACTGGTGGCCGCCATGACGTGCTCCGTCACCTGGGACTCCTTCGAGACCACCCACTCCTCGAGAGCCCCCTCAACCAGGTGCTCTTCAACCAGCACCTGACGGCCAACCTGCGCAAGCTCATCCAGCGGTGCGTTGCTGTTGTGGGGGAGGGCAGAAGCAGGTCTGGCATTCCGGCCCCCTTCCGGGAGGGAGGGGCCCCAAGACCCCCCTGCCCTACGGCTCTTCCCTCCCAGAACCCTCCTCCCCCCCTTTTCCATTCCCTGCTCACACCTCAACCCTATTTCCAGGCACAGGAAGGTCATTGCTGAGCGAATTGACGTGGACCACGTGCTGAAGGTACAGCCCCCTCCCTGGAAGAGTTGGAAGGGACCCCCGAGGGTCATCCAGCCCAACCCCCTGCAACACCGCAACAAACGCTTTGGCGCTTGTGCTCTCTCTTTGCAGCGCGCAGCATCCGGGAGTTTGACGAGCGCTACACGGCCGTGGCCTTTGGGCTACAGCTCCTGCGAGGAAATACTACCAGGCCGCCAGCCCCTGCCAGAAGGTGCACAGCTTCCGGGTCCCGGTGCTGTGCCTCAACGCCTCCGACGACCCCTTTTCCCCACTTCCACGGTGAGTTCCCCGGCCATCCTCCCAGGTGGGCGCCCCTCTCCCCCCGGGGCTCCTGCTCTCGACTGACCCCCATCCGCCTTCCTTGCAGCCATCCCGTGAAGGAAGCCCAGAGCGTCTCCAACCCTGGCGCTGCTGGTGACGGCGCGAGGAGGGCACATTGGCTTCCTGGAGGGGCTCCTGCCGCGCCACCGAGAGCTACATGGACCGAGTCTTCGCCCAGTTTGCGGGGGCTGTCTTTGAGCACCAGGAAGAGCTGGCGGCGGCCATGGCAGCCGAGCAGGAGCAAGCAGCTGCAGCAGCAGTGCCACGAACAGGGGCCGGGCCGCCCAGGTGGCAACCTCCTAAGCAGAACCAGGGAGGAGGAGGAGGGCCCTGTGACCCCCAGCGCAGGCCCTGTGAGCCCCACAAGGTGGAGGGGCCTGAGCTTGTTGCCCTGCTCCTTCCTTCAGGAGGGGCTTCCAGCGCTGCTGGGACCAGGACCGTGCAGAATACAAGATGGCTTTTCCAGTACCTTGGCGTGAGGCTGCTTTCCGTTCCGGGCACAAAGAAAGCTGCACTTCTCTCGCACAGAAACTTGCTTCAACCCCAGTGAGGAGCCCTTCCCCCTCTTTCTTTGGGGGGGCAGCAAGAGCTCAGGGACAGAGCAGCTGTTCTGTCTGCAGAAGGTCTTGGGTTCAAACCCCTTTGGCAGCGTCTCCAGGGAGGGCTGGGGAAAAAGACTCTCCGTCTGAAGCCCTGGAGAGCGGCTGCCAGTTAAAGAACTATAGAACAGCTGGCAAAGGACACCCATCTAAAATGGTCGCAAGTTGCTTTGGGCTGCCCTAAGTGACTAACAAATTTAATCAATAATCAATAATAATAATAGACCCAAGAGAGCCACTCCCAGCCAGCAGCGACCACAGGAGGCCAAACTGGTGAAAGGAGAGAAAGGGCTGAGATCTTTGATTGAGTTGGGTTGATTTCCTGTGAAATAAACACACACAAATGTGCACATTCTACTCCCACCTACCGCACAAAAATCTCTCGGTGCCACTCAGAGCCAGGCTGCATGTTGGGCAGTGGGTGTGGCCTTGTGGGGAGATCGACCCACAGAAGACCATTGTCCTTTCCACAACTGCTCTGGGCCTTGTCGCCCTCCAGCCTCTGATTTCCTGGTTCACTCCCTCCGGGGGTGATGGGCAGCCAGCTCAGAGCAACACCTGAGACTTGCTTGCACCTCAGTGAGGGCAGAGGGTGGCATGCAAAGGCTGTTCGTAAGACAAGTTCACTGCTGGGGAAATAAAGGGCTGGCGTCATTTCAGGACACGGCAACTGGGAGGCCAATGGCATCGGTAGCAGGATCCTCACAGCTGATCTGCGGAAATGTGAGCTTCCTGGGAAGCTGGAGGAACCCAGCAGCAGCTGAGAGATTCCTGACAGGCTTTGCACATGGCGGAGCAAAGGATCGTCTCAGCCGCAGGAAGGGAGAGGTTTAGAGTTACACGGAGGGAAAACAGATACTGGAGTTGAGCAAGAGGAAGGAGGTCAGATTTACAGCTTAGGGGAATTTTTAGGGGCTTAGTTGGGTCATCGCATAAGTCGTGGGTCATCTAAGTCCAACCTGCTGCAAGGCAAGAATCTGAGCTCTGATCAGCATTTCCGCAGCCTGGTGGCACATGCAACCCCTAAAAAGCGCATGTACCCACAAAAGGCACAAGCCCCCCTGCTCCCCTCTTCCTTGTGCCCCGACACCCATGGGCCACAAGGCCAGGTGGGGGCATCCCAGGCTGCAGCCATTTACTAGAGCGGGGAAGGGGTCCCACGTGGCAGACCACCTCCACTGCTCCAAGTCTTGGGGCAAAACAGCCCCTCGCGCACACTGCGGGGTGCTCCAGCCCCGCTCCAGCCAGGAGGGGACAGACGAGGCAGGCAGGGAGCAGAGCTCTTGCTCCATCATCTTGTTTAATGGCAACTTGCAAGACCCCCGTCGTGGGGCTGGGAGGGGCCTCGCTTGCCCAACGCAGCCGAGGCTGGAATGTTTCAACGTGGCAGTCCAAAAACGGAGGAGTGGGGGCTGCCCCACCCCGTAGTCACCAGCGGGGGGGACGGGGGACGAGGAGAGTTCATGCCCCACCCCAAGACTTCATCTGTGGGGGTTCTGCCCCCCTGGCTCAGCCAAGCACACCTGTCCGCAGGCTCTGAGGGGGCAGCCTTCGCCCTGGACCCCAGGGCCTTCTGCAGTCTGTGGGATGAGGAAGGGGTGGGCGCCCCCCCCAGCGCAGGAAGGGCGGAGCCGAGGCCTAGAGGAAGCCGGGGAAGGCCAGCTGGAGCAGCAGGACCGAGGCCACGATGAGTCCAGGCGCACAAGAGCAGCACCAGCCACACGGGGAAGCTCCCTCGGGGAGAGAGGGGAGACGACTGAGCAAAAGCAGGGAAGAGGCCCCCCCAAGCCCCCCTGTGGCAGGGCAGGGGCCCCACCCCCGACCTACGTCGCAAGGGATGCGGTGCAAGGCGGCAGGCGGCTGTTCCGCACGCTGGAG